CCCCCCACCCACTCCAACAATCTTATAGTGAATCTGCGCCTGCCTGTTTGAGGATTATTCTCTCAGCTTTGGAAAGCGCAGATTACTTGTGCTTTTAAGTTTACTCTGAACATCTGGACGTTTGCAGAGGACTCAGAGTGGATTATCAAGGGTTCCTATTCTGTCCAAAATGTTTGTCCATCGCCCAGCTTTGGAACAAAACGTGCAAATTCTGCACCAAATTGTGTCGCTCTATCTGGAACGGTGTATTGTAACTTTTGCTGCATGTTGCGCAAAATTTGACAAAATCTGCAAAACAAGATGAAAATTGATGGAATTCTGGCAAACCGGATGGGAGAACCCACCCTTCTTTGGAGCTCAGGCATACTTTACAATAGAAACATCATTTAAGTTTAAAAGGGTCACAGAAAGTTGGATATCACATGTCTGAATTGGCATTTTGATAACTTTTCCAGTTGTTTCACAATCGCAGTTAAGTTTTCAGATTATCACAGAATGTTCTGATGCCACTCTCAACTTCTTAGTCTTAATGTGCAAATATGCAGCGGGTAAAATAANATGTGCACTGACAAGGGGCAGGCTTGCTTTCTAATTACTGAGAGAGTTCAGCTGGTGTCTTGGCTTTCCATGCCTTTTTACACCTCCCTTTTTTCATGTGTTCAATACTTTTTCCCTGTGTCATTCCACATTATTACAAATAACTTCATTTCTGGACATTTACATCTGATGAAAATTTCATGTCATTAGCACCTCTAGTAATATATTTACTGAGAAAAATGGTGACGTGTTCAATACTTATTTTACCCGCTGTATATTCTCGTGTTAAACCCCTTTTGGTTCATCTACCAATAATACATCAAAACGTGAGCATTTTTGTGTGGGTGCTCTTTTACCATCTCACAATTAAACTCTGATTCTTGGGGTCATAATTAAAGTAGCTTCTAAACAGTTTGATTCATATCGGCTTTAACCTGTTGGTCTGTGAAGCTCGTCAAGCTTGGTCTTCCCGGGCATTCTGTTAAGAAACAAAACTGAGTCCAAATAGTTGCCTTCAATGAAGATGATTGGTTGATTCTCTCTTTCCTTCATTTCTGTACTTTTTTGTTTTGGTGCTTGCAGAGCACGTGTATGTTTCAGAACCGGTAGTGACGTTAACACGTTCACTGTTTCAAAATAGAGGATGACAGCCAGTGGATTTATTTTATTCAAAAAAATGTAGTTAAAATCAATTTTGTGAAATTTACATTAGGGCTGCCACGATTAGTCAACTACTCACAATTATGTCGACTATTAAAATTGTAAACGGTTAATTTAATAGTCGATGCATCGTTTTATTTTTTTCTCTAAATTTGTTTTTCTCTCCAAACTGTTGCGGCACCTTCCACTGCCTCGTCTGCCTTCCTGTCCTCGACACACCCACTAATTGAAAAAAATAGTCGGCGATCAGTCGGCTATAAAAATAATCGTTTGTGGCAGCTCTAGTTATCACTACTGCACATGTGTGTCAAGGACAGAAAGGCAGACGTGGCAGTGGAAGGTGCCGCAGCAGTTTGGAGAGAAAAACAAAGTAAAAAGAACAAAACGTTGCATCGACTATTAAATTAGTTGTTGACTATTTTAATGGTCGACATAATCGTGACTTGTCGACTAATCCCGGCAGCCCTAATTTACATTGATTCTGAATTGTTCTAAATGAGAATCATGATTCTTACGTGATTGATCCCTAATTGCTTTACAGCTTCCGGTTTTCTCTTAAACGTCCTCAGAGTGCAGACTGCACAGCCAAGCTTCTGTTTTATTTCAGCCTGAATGTTTTCTTCTCAAAACTTTGCCTAAAACATGGTTGATCAAAACAGTCTTGTTTGTTGGAGGTTTACTTTTCAGGCTGCAGTTTTGTCTGCCTCACCTCGTTATTCCAGTGACAGACAGATGTGTGGTTACCACTGCGACTATAATGAGCCACTGGCAGCAGCGTTAACATGTTTTTATTTTATTTTGGTTCTCTTTATGTTTCTTATACAGTTTAAACATCAGAACGTCTGCATTTTACTTCTAATGCTACAAAGTTATGTTAAAACTTGGGCCAGTAGCAGCTTTAGCACCTTTAAAATGTCTTCAGAAATTTCCTACTTATGTATTATTTAGGGCTGCACCGATTAATCGACAACTAATCGATTATTAAAATAATCGATGACT